AATAAAAAAAAGTTTTTTTTTTTTGAAACCCACAGGAGGGGGGGGGGGGGGGGGGGGGGGAACCTTGTTCCTGGAATCTTGATGCTTAAAATGGAAAGAAATAAGCTATGAACGTATGCCAAAGTTCGTGAACAGAATTTGTACACTTGTTTGTTTGAAAACTGCATGAAATCTGTGAGCAAACGTACATTTTAAAAATAGACGATGTTGTAATACAGAAAAAAAATGCAGTTGGGCTGTTAATAAACCGATATAAATGCCATATAGAAAAGTAGTCTAAACGTGTGTGTTGTTCCTGGATGCTGTACATACAAAATTGTTAAAGTCACCATTATGTGACTTATACCATATATACCATTTAATTCATGTGCCCTTGTAATCTTTAATCAAAAACTTTAACCTCTCCTTCCCCTCAAAACGACTCATCTTCTCTTCCGGTCACGAGCTATGGCGCAAGGGTGGAGCTAGTGAAGTGAGGGGTAAACACTGGGATAAACTACAGGGGGGGAAAGCTGAAGCTGATGCTTCACTTTATAGCACTGACACCAGTCATGAGGGAGTACGTTACCCCTAAACATTGAAAAGATATTAAGACAACATTACTCTTAGGACATCGCAAACTATTTTTTTTTTCATGAATATGACTTAACCTGATGGAGGACGCGCTCAGTCATTCAGGCAGTCTCTCTCTCGTGCGCGTGCTGTTTAGGCAGTTGTTTTGTGTAGTTGATCGTCATCGTCATCCTTAATAAATAAAACATTTATTCATGCTTGGGTGTCTGCTGTGAATCCAGAGAGTAATCCACAATCACAACTTCCATTTCATGCAGACTTTAAGGTATTAATTGTATTATAAACAAGCTAAAAACTAATGAATATCGATATTGCTAGTATTGATTTGATAGTTTCACTAGATCAGTGGATAGTTTACACAAAATCTAAAATTCTTTTATCATTCTCACCCTCATGTCGTTCGAAGAATCTATAAAGCAGAATTTTCAGGCTGTTCTTTTTCATACTTAATGAGTTGGGCTTTAAAGCTACTAAAAAGATGTGGTAAAACGTTTTATTTGTTAATGAAAACATGTACGTGATACTGTCCATTCAATACTGTATGAAGTTCACATTACGTCTAATGTAATCATCACCTGGCTATGGTATAAGTCACTTTGTGAAACTATTTAATTTGCAAACAAATGAGATTCTTTTTAAATCCTTGGGAGAAACCAACGGTTGCTTTTTTAAATCGTCCCGGTGCCCGCAGATTTATTTTTTATTTTTTTGGTGGGAAGGAAGCGCAAGAGACGAAAGCGACAATAATATGACTCTTTTGAGATAATTTTATGGTACTAATTAATATTTATGGAATAATTATGATAAATTTTTCCCATTGAAAATAGTACAAAATTTTGTACAATTATTTTTCAATTAATGCAGTATTTCAGATTAAAATAGAGACTAGGCCTTTAAAATCAAATTTTTGAAGGCAGAATAGCACCTCCTGGTGAGAGCAAAAAATAGAAAATACCAATAATTTCATGGTGTAACCACTAGATGCACTCTATTGTAGTCACGGCAGGCACAACCACTAGATGCACAGTAGTATAGATAGGACTCTATAGAGAGGCTTGTGAATTCCCTAGTTGTTTTTATACATAATTGTTTACTTTTATTAG